TTGAGCATTTGCTTTGTTCTAGACACTGTGTTATGAGTTTTTCATATAATATTTTGTCTAATCTTCACCATATTTATAAGAGTTACAAAAAGGAAATTGAGGCCTATACACAGAAAGAGGCAGCGGTTGGCTTAGACCCCTGATCTACCTGATATCAGTCTTCTGCTAAATTCTAGTGGATGATTTTAAACTTTTATATGTATGTGAACACTAATATTTTTACTAATTTATTAAGAGGATTTGTGTAGCTCTTCTTATATTTGTTAGAGTTTTCACATGAATATATGTGGAACTTTAAACCAGTCCTTGGTTCAAAAATGTTATTTAAAACCACTTAATTTGGAGTATTTCTGTCATTGGAAGCTATGCCAAAAATTTGGAAAGACTATTTCAATAGTGAAATGCTTACCTAGGGTCATCTGAAAGTGTGCAAGAGAAAAATGAAAGCTTGCTTACTCCCTACCTGTAGCCATAAACCCCCTGGGCTGAGATGCTGCCTTAGGAATGGGTCTACAAAGTTATTTGGCCACACTCTCAGGGGCACACTATTTTCACTATCAGTCTAAGTCCTGTCAGGCAGGGACCACATAGGTGCTCTGCTGTCCAGTGGACGCAAGTGCATTTGACACAGAAGTCCACCTGTCAGAGTCCAGTTTGCGAGGAGGCTCACTCCTGCCTAAGGGCAGGTGGGTCAGACTTATGGTCCATCTGAATCTTTTCCCACAGAGAAAGGTTACTGAGTTTCAAGTTGTTAGTACTCATTGGGGAAAACAATCTTTCATAGTTGTATCCTTGTTATTTTCTTTCTCTTCCATCTGTGTGAACTACAGTGTAAATGGCCATTGAAATGTAACGAAATATCTCTTGATTCTTGTCCTCTAGGAACTTAGAATTCACTTGGAAAGACAAGATATAACCACTTGAAAAGTAAGGTTAGAGGAGGGAAAAAAAGGTTTTTGGTTCCTTCCTCAAAGTACACAGGAACTAGCCCTGGTCCCTTCTTCATGAGGGGTAGGGATTTAGTCCTTGTGCTCATTGATGTCTGCCCAGTCCCTAGAACAGGGACCCACACAAAAGAGACACTCAATAGATATGCATTAAATAAATGAATGAATGGCTTTTTCAGTCAGGAGGAACTTCATAGAGGCAAGTAGGGTTTAAGAGGAGTTTTATAGGTTGAGGGAGAGAATCAAGAAAATTTAAGTAAATTTAGGAAGAACTCTTTGGATGAAGCAGGGAAGAGATGAAGGAAACTTTGGAGATATTGTCACAAAAAATAGATGGGCACCACGTTTTGGGGGATATTGCATTTCTAACTGAGGAATTCTCAGAGTCTGTGGACTCCTTAGAAAGAACTGATGAGAGCTGTAAAGCAGAACTATGATGAGATCAGTCTTCCCAAGTCAGAGACAAATTGCATAATTACATTTGAAATTTTTGCTGCTCATGTAGAAGAATCTTTTTTTCCCCAAACTTGCATTGATTAAATGGATTATTTGATACAAAGCCATTGTAATTTGCTAATAATATAAATCATGACACTTTTGTGACAGTGACATTACTGGGGCTGTTTCAGTTGGCTTCTATTTCTTGTCACATGAGGGACTTCTTGCTTGAATTATACTTTTTCCCCCTTTTAAAACTGACAAGTACAAGTTGTATGTATTTGTGGGTGTACAGCATAGTGCTTTGGTATGTGTATACATTGTAGATTGGCCAAATCAAGCTATTTAACATACACATTACCTCAAATCTTTATCATTGTACACAAAATGATATGTAGTAAGAATACTTAAAATCTACTCTATTAGCAGTTTTCAGGTACTGAATTCCACTGTTGCTTTTGCCTGATTTTTCTATAGAAGAAGTGAGAAGGACAAAGAAAATAAATGAATATGCGCTGATCTTTGGAATGTGCCAGTCGCTTTTACATATATTGTATTAATTTAAGTTTTGTATGCTGGTCTTAATCCAAAGAGTGTTAAAGATGCATGTAAATTTTTAAAAAGATGACTCCATTAGAGGATTAGAGAAAAAAAGAAAAGTAAGATAAGAAAAATAAAGGAAGCCGGTGGAGTTTGTTGTACAAAAATGCTTTCCACAAGGACTTTGTTTTTTTTTTTTGAGTTGGAGTCTCACTCGGTTGCCCAGACTGGAGTGCAGTGGCCGCTCCTGGCCACCGCAGCCTCGACCTGCTGGGCTCCGGTGATCCTTCCGCCTCAGTCTTCCGAGTAGCCGGAATTACAGGCATGCGCTACCATGCCCGGCTGATTTTTTGATTTGTTGTAGAGATGAGGTCTCGCTGCCCAGGCGGGTCTCGAACCCATGGGCTCAGGCAATCCACTCACCTCAGCCTCCCAAAGGCGCGGGATTACAGGCTGAGCCACTGAGCCCGGCTCCACAAGGACTTTGTACACTTGCTAGTGGTGATTACAAATCAGACTTGAGTCCTTTCGACTTCTAGTGCAAAGAGGAAAACATATTGGGCTATATGATTCTCGGTGCTCACGAGATAAAAAGAAATTAATTACCCAGGAGCAGCCCAGCTAGTTCTAGAACCTAAGAAAATTCTCCCATGAGTCTTCACAGAGAAGACTCCCAGAAACATTTTGTTTGGGTTGCCAGTGGAAAGGGTTGATAGTCTCTTATGAAAACTGAAGAATCAGAGGAGATCTATTGCTGTCCAGAAGCCAACTGATGTTCTATCTGTGGGCAGGACCAAGGCTGTCATCTTTGACCCCAGATATCTCAAGCTATCACTTTGCAGTGAATTTCCCAAGATAAACTCTTTATCCCCTTCACATTATAGTATATTTATTTGTTTACTGTTTCTTCTCCTAAATAGATTATTATCTGCATGAAAGCAGGGATCATATGTGCCTTATTTATTCTTACATCCTCATATAGTACAAAGTCTAGTAGATGTTAGGAGCTCAGTAAATATGTATTGAATGAAGGAAGGAATGGAAAGTACTGGCGGTACAAATGTACCCTAAGGGAACTGAATTGGTTTGCTGGCTGAGATGGATTTTTAACTAGCCATATGCCTGGTTACATTAGCTAGCTTTAAGAATGTTTGGAATGTCTACCAGAATGACTGATCTTAGAATAGCTGATAGGCATTCTTCTTGCCAATAATCAGATAGTATCAGATGACCAGTTGTCTGCTGAGTTCATTCCACATAGGAAATATAGAGTAGGTTTTATAATTCATATCTCAACCAATGAGCTCACAAAAGCTTAGATAAGTTGAATTATGGGTTCATTTTTCTACTTAACCAAAAAAGTGTATTTATTTTTTTGGTGATGATTATACACAAACTTTTATGAAAACATGAAAATACAGACAACAAAATAAAGCAGGCAGCCTTGTCACTCCATCACCTCTAAACAATAACTATTTTATGACACTTTTTCCATTAGCTAAGTGAAAAAGCATGCCCATGGCACAACAATCCTGAGTTGACCTAGAAATAAAGATAAGAAGATTAAGACAAACATTGAGACAATTCAGGGAGAAGTGGAAGCAAAATACTGTCCCCTGAAAGTGGCATTCTCACTTTAGGGTCAGATACCAGTGGGTCCTCTTGCTGAGTCACAAACTGAGCTTAAGTTGCAAATCTTCCTTCCTTCCTTCCTTCCTTCCTTCCTTCCTTCCTTCCTTCCTTCCTTCCTTCCTTCCTTCCTTTCGTTGGAGTCTCACTCCATCGCCCAGGCTGGAGTGTGGTGGCATACTCATGGCCACCCCAGCATCGACCTGCTGGACTCCTGTGATCCCTCCACTTCAGCCTTCCAAGGAACCGGAACTACAGGCACAGGCTACCACACCCGGCTAATTTTTTGAATTTATTGTAGAGATGTAGTCTCGGCAAGTTGTCCAGGCTGCTCTTGAACCTGTGGGCTCAGGCAGTCCCCTCACCTCTGCCTCCCAAAGTGCTGGGATTACACTGCTCCTGGTCAAATTGCAAATCTTTCTTTTGGGTCCCCCTACAGGAGAACTGTATGCAAGTTCATAGACATTAGATTTTTAAAAAGTATTTTAAAATCAAATCTCTTTCATGAGCATATTATATAATATCACTGTGGTACATGTGGCAGCTACATTCACACTCATTAGCTAAGTGTTGGGTTTTTCTTGTCTTTTTACTTGTAAAAATTTTATGTATTTATGTCTCTATTTATTTTATTTTTTAACTTTAGAGTTGTGGAGTATATGTGGGGATTTACTACATAAGTAAGTTGCATTCAGGTAAAGTTTGGGCTTCTAGCTTGCCATCACTCCCTGTGATAATGGAATAGGTACCCTAGAAAAGAGAATACGAAATTCATATGGAAACAAAAAAGAGCATGAATAACTAAATCAATCCTTTGCAAAAGGAACAAAGCTGGAGGCATCACACTTTCAGACTTTAAACTTTATTATAAGGCTATAGTAACCAAGACAGCATAGTTATGGTTCAGGAATAGGCACATGAACCAATGAAACAGGACAGATAATCCGGAAATAAAAACATGGTCTCTCAGTCAACTCATCTTCGACAAAGCTATCAGTAACAAATATTGGGGAAAGGAAACCATATTTAGCAAATAGTGCTGAGAAAACTAGGTAGCTATATGCAAAAGTATGAAACTGGACTCCCTGTCTATCATCATAATTAACCAAAAATTAACTCAAGATGGATCAAGGATTTAATGTAAAACCTCAAACTATAAAAATCTTAGAAGAAAATACCTTCCTGGATATCAGAGTTGGCAATGAATCCATGGCCAAGTCCTCAGAAGCAAATGCAGCAAAAGCTAAGATAGACAGGTGGGACCTTATCAAACTGGAAAAATGTTAGATTTTTCTAGAATAATACAGATGTTTGTAGAAAGTAGTTATATAGCTAACTTTTGCTTGCTTCCTTTTCAAATATGGATTACTGTCATTCCTCTTGAGAGTATGCATTAATTCATTTCCTATGGTGGCTGATTTAGGGCTTTGTCCTCCTTCCCTGCAGAGACACAGAATACAAAGGCCTGCAGCTCTCCCTGGATCAGATCTCAGCCTCCAAACCAGCCTTCTCCTATGCCAGCAGCTCTACCCCCACCATGACTGACAACAGAAAGGGTGCCAAGTCCCGGCTCTCCAACTCAAAGTCAAAATCCAGGACTTCCCCATACCCTCAGGTAAGTGCATCACCATTTGCAACTTTCTTTTTTGGTGACCTGGTTTGACTGTGATGTTGAGGAAGTATTAAATTGTTTGGAATTAATTAATAAATTTCAAACATCTGTAAATCTGGAAGTTTTTCTAAAACGACCTTCTTCCTCCTCTGCTTCCTTTAAAATAACTGTGCTAGTAAAAGTTTAAAATGATTTTGTTGTTTATTGTATTTGTATAAAATTCGTGAGAGTCTAGTTGTTGTCAGAACCATAATTTCCTTGTGATTTCAAGGAGATTGATGCTATATTTTTTCCTTCCACAACAAGTAACCAGAAAGATGTACCCAGCTTAGCAAGATGTGGAAAACAAGAGCTTGATATAGAAAAATTGATCTTAGGACAGGAGCTGAAGAAGAAAAAAATTAAGAGGTAGAGGTAAAGGATCAAGGATGCATTTCACCAAGAGATTTGAACAAAGATTGACTATTTATGAAGAGGAAAGAAATAAAGAGAATCTTCCAAATGGCAGGAATGGTAGCAAAAGCAAATCCCCTCTCATCTTTGCAAGGTAGTGAGATGTTGAGACCCAAAGGAGGTAATCCAGAAACTGTAAAGTACAAATGGGAGCCTTGGTTTTTGGAAGAAAATTTTAATTTTCTGATCAATCACTGAGACATAGAAACTAGACTGTGTCAAGGTGTGTGCACAACTATCCTGGCCTGGAGGAAGTAGGGCAGGACAGGGAATTCCCTAATCCCAGTGTCTTGTGGCCACCTCACCTTCATCCTTTTCCTTTAACAGTACCATGTCAAACTTCCTACAGTTCACGAGAGTAACCCAGGAGATGATTCCTGGGCTTGTATAAAACCAAACCGGTTTCTGAGTCATTTATTTATCAAGAGGGTTTTTTTCATTTGTGTTTTAAATTTATTTTTAAGTAGAAATGACAATTCAGTATACACAAAAACCACGATTTCCTTACTTGTCAGAGCTCTGCTATTCTGTTGATATCTATGAGTACATACTGTTTGAGAAAGTGTCGTTCATTTAACCAAGAAGCTATTATTTGATAGATTATTTTGGTGACTTGGTATATTAAAAGACCATGATCTCTGCATCTAAGAGACTATGGCACACAGTTTGAAATCTTTCACAGAAGACCAGTGTTCTTTACTCTGAAAAAAGGGAGGAAAAGCAGATGTGTGATACCTAGATGTTTTCCAGGGAACAGCTTTTGAGAACTGAGCACTTTACTCATAAAGCACAAAGTATATTTTAGTCAAAGTCACTGTAGAGAGGAAGCTGTTTCTTTTTACTAAACACCTAATGAGAAGCTTTTCCTATTACTATTTTGTACTTTGGGAAGATAATTTCACTGTCCTATTTTACTATGTGGAAGGACGGATTTATGGCTTTGGGTAGTTTTCTAAGATATAGGAGTGTTGGACATGTAAATGAAAGAAGAATTTAAATTATAAAGTACAAAATGTGTCCATTGTTACATAGAAATTAAGCTACAAAAATAAAATCTCTCCAATTGACCTCCAAAACCTTACTGTCTACTCTATGTTTTCTTTCATGCTCAGCTTTTAACACTTAAGTTTTGTGCTAATTCGCGCTAATAGTAGACTATTTTAACTGCCGTGTGTGTGTGTGTGTGTGTGTGTGTGTGTGTATGTGTGTGTGTGTGAGAGTAAGGAGGAGTTAATTTAAAAATTACACATGTTCTGTAGTTGTAAAGTAATAAAGATGAGTGGGAAGTAGAAACATTTCTCTTTCTTCATGTTTCCTCTCCAAAATTGTCATTTCTTCTCGAAATGTTCTACGATGTATAAAAATGCATATACAGACATATGTTTACATGGGATTTCTCTCGACATTTGTATAGTCATTATTGTGGCTAATCTTATATAAGAAGTCCTTAGAATTTTGGACATACATCTTATTTGAAATGGCGTAAATTAAGTTTACTTAACATTTACATGTCTAGTTAAGGATATTCTTTAATTGTGTTTACTTTAGACAATCATGGTGCCAGATCAATCGCTGACTGAGTTTCTACTTCATGGGAGGCTAATACGTAGTAATCAGAAATGGAACACACTCTCTTTGCTTTTGAAGACCCACCTGTGTAGACAGACACGTGAACAGGCATTTGTAGTAAATTGTCATGGCTGAGAGTGTCCTCTAGGGACAGATTGGAAAAGCATGACAAAGAGGGCAGATTCATCACTGTTTCTGTTGGAAGAAAACAACTTAGAAATCCTCCATCCTGAATTTTATATCCTCAGAATTTTTTTTTTTTTGGCTGGAGTACAGTAGCACACTGCAGCCTCTACCTGCTGGACGCAGGTGATCCTTCTGCCCCAGGCTTCCAAGTAGCAAGAACTACAGGCATGCACCACCATGCCCAGCTGATTTTTTGGTTTGCTGTAGAGACAAGGTCTCGCCATGTTGCTCAGGCTGGTCTCGAACCCCTGAGCTCAGATAATCCTCTTACCTCAGCCTCCCAAAGTGCTGGGATTACAGGCATGATCCACCATGCCTGGCTATTCCTCAGGAATTTTAAAGAAAAAAATTAGCTTCCACAAAATATTATTTGGTCTGAATTTGAATATTATTAAAGAATAATTAACTTTTAATTTTTGTGCCTCATTACTATTTGGTATCTTTGACTCAGCAAATGTTGATATATGCATCGAAAAGACACTACTCTGGTCATTGTGGTAGTTGAGGGCTAGGGATTGGATAGAGTGTTAGAATATAAAGAAGTGGTCTAAGAGATGGCCATACATTTTGTAGTACAGTTGAAGTGATAAATTATATCCTAGAATAAGAAGTGTGTAGGAGATGGAGTCTGAGGGCTTTTTGGGTGGTGTCGGTGACATGGACTCTTGCCTGACTGAGGAAAATGTGAGTGAATAGCTGCAAAATAAATTCCTTTTTAGTGACTGAATGATGAAACTTTTAATTTTATTTAATTTTAAACACTTCTACTTATTTTTCAAAAATAAAGTGATAGTCTTTTCTTTTTTGTTATTTCCATATTTAATAAGTTGAACATGGAAATTCTCATCAGATTTTTCAACAGGCAGTTTCCAGAGCCAAATTGAGCTCAAAGAGTAATGTGTGGTGCCTTTTCAATTAACTACATAAATGGTGATTTAATGATTCTATCAATATTATATATGAGGCTCTTTGCTCTGACTATTACATATTGGCATATGTAGAAATTAGGCATATGTAGAAATTTCCAACAGATATCTGACGCTGCTCTTTGAAATTATTTAGGCACTATTACGTGAATATTTGAGACACGCACAAATTGTAACTCGCCACCACTACTCAGTTTGTCTGCTGTGGTAGATGAACCTTCAGATCCCTTTCTGGTATGAGATGCCCTTAGGAATGATTTTAGACTTGATTATATTATGGCCACTTAATGAATGACTCAATCACCTTTGGACTTCTGTGTATTCCTCAAGACAGGAGAGGTCAAAAATAGAATTGTTTTAAATGGTTTGGGGACAATTGCTGTAAGAAATATTATAGTTAATTTCTAAAGATTTCCATAGCTATCATGCTGCTGTACGGTGCCAGTCTTACCATGATGACAGCTGTATTTTATTGTTATTAGTTTTTTTTTTAATTTTAGTGTCGTGGGATACATGTGAGGATTTGCTACATAGGTAAATTGTGTGCATGAGGTTTGGGTTTCTAGGCCCTTTCTCTCCCTGGTAGTGGACATGGTGCCCCGTGGGTAGTTTTGTGCCCCTTATTCTCCCTATTGTTTTTGGGTTTACTTTACTAATGAAAACAGCAGTGTTTTTTTCCCCATAGTTCTGCAGAATTATATATATATTGAGTTTATAGAATTTATTTATTTTTTAGACTTTATCCACTAGAGATTGCTAAATTTTTTTTTTTTTTTTGAGTTGGAGTCTCACTCTGTCTCCCAGGATAGAGGGCAGTGGCATGCTTCCGGCCACTGCAGCCTCAACCTGCTGGGCTCAGGTGATCCTTCCACCTCAGCCTTCCAAGTAGCCGGAACTACAGGCATGCGCCACCATGCCTGGCTAATTTTTTGATTTATTGTAGAGACGAGGTTTCACCATGTTGCCCAGGCTGGTTTCGAACCTGTGAGCTCAGGCAATCCTCCCACCTTGGCCTCCCAAACTGCTGGATTATAGGCTTGAGTCACCATACCCGGCCGCTGAGATATTTTCTGCCTCTTTTTATGAAACTAGTTGTAGCTGCTCTAATGCCAGTTGGAAGTTATCTTGCTATGGTTTAGTCACGTCAGTCATGAGTAAATTGCCTCCTGATTCCGGAGTTTTCTTTTAAACTTCTCACTTTGGCATGTTTATAGTTATGTTTATTACAGACAGTGCATGCCATCCTGTTTTATTTCATCATCCTGCTTTCCTCTTGCCTTTTCCCTAGCCAGTAATAACCAAGGCACTATATAATTCCATAAGACTGCATGCTTCTGAAATCTGAAAGTGTTTAATCACTCGCTACAGATACACTGTAACACTTGCTGATTTTATTCCACATCTGTTACCTTAAATAATCCCACAGAACCCTCTTAATTTTAATTGCCAGCAATCTGGTTTCCTTTTGGTGAAGGTAGAAACCCTCCTGCAATGATTCTTTCTGGTCCCAAAAATGCAGCCATGTCTACTACAGTGAGTGACTTTTTAGGTTAGAGAAAGGAAGGATCAATAATTTTTCAACATAGTTGTCCCTTTATGCATAATGATTTTATCACGATCAGTGTAGATTTCCCTTCATTTCATGTTTTAAGATAACATGAAAAAGTGTAATCCTTGACCATTAATAACAAAAAATTAATACATTTTGCAAAAAATCAAATGAGAGCTGGGCTCGGTGGCTCAGCCTGTAATCCCGCGCCTTTGGGAGGCTGAGGTGAGTGGATTGCCTGAGCCCGTGGGTTCGAGACCTGCCTGGGCAGCGAGACCTCATCTCTACAATAAATCAAAAAATCAGCCGGGCGTGGTAGC